CCTCTTTTGAGTCTCCCATTTCAGCGCTTCTACCTGTAATTTTTCCCAGTCCAGGTCTTGTCCTGCATCACCCACATTTCACAAATATGGATCAGTTCTGACGTTGCTTCATCGGCCATGATTGAACTGTCTTGAAGTCCTGCTGTTAACACTGGAATATCTGATAAAACTGCAAAAGCAGTGTGCCTGTGGCAAGGAGGCTGACTTGCAGAATGTGCCCTTTGGTCATTTAAATAAATACTTTTTTGTTGTTTTGTATGCGTATATCAAATATTTTTGCTTTGTTCATTTGTGAAATATATGATGTAAATGGGGAGCCACAAGGAGGGAGTAGGATAATTGGCTTGCAGGGAGGGCATTGTAATCACTGAGATGAAACAGTGAATAATTTGTTAAATGTAAAACTGATGCTCTCGTCTGGAAACCTTTACAGAATTACCAATAAAAAGTTTAAATGAACAAATAATGGATTTTTTTCCCCACAAACTTTTGGAAGCCCCTCCATGTAATTGGATAGTACTCACCCAGTAGGAGAAATAAAGTTTTTGTTTTGTTTTCCTTTTCTAACTTGTTAAATTTGGTGAAGATTTAAAGAGCGGGACAGTTTTCCGTATTACTCATGTTACACACAACTCCATAGTGTAACATCACTCAGCCTGCTTCTTCCCTGTGTCCTGTTGCCATTCCCTTCTTATAACCCTTAACTCTGTCCACGGGTTGTCTCATAGTGACTCTGTACAGGGTTTCCGAGGCTGTGAGTCCTTACAGGAGCAGAAAGCCTCATCTTTCTCCCACACAGTGGCTGGTAGCTTCGAACTGCTGACCTTGAGGTTCACAGCCCGATTCGTAACCACTACGCTACCAGAGCTCCTTCCAGAGCTCCTTTGGGTGCATGCTTTCACCTGGTTGGTTATTCTGAGGTGTGCTTAGCTCCCTAGTGTTACTGTTTCCCTTCTAGACACCAGGGTCAACTGCCATCTAACATGCGTCTACAGAGACATAGCCTGTGTTCCACTTTGGTCAGTAGTGATTGTGAGCGGCCGTCTTAAGGTGCAACTATTAGTCTAGCTGTGTATTGTTATTAAGTACCATCGAGTTGGTGTCTCTTTTATATGGGGTTTCTGAGGAGCAACTGGTGGGTTTGAACCACCTTCCTTATGGTTAGCAGTCCAGTGTTAATCTGCAGTACCACAGGCTCCAGCCATGTATTGTTGTTAAGTGCCATATAGTCGGTTCCGACTCTATGTAGGCATCCCAAGGAGCAGCTAATGGGTTTGAACTGATGACCTGTGGTTTGCAGTCCGTTGTTTACCCTGCAGTACCAGGATTCTCATGGCTTCTGTCCTGCCTCCTAGTTCATGGGATCTGAAGAGTTTGCAAGTGGCCATCCAAGATACAGTTGTTATTGTGGTTATGTGCCGTGGAGTCGGTTCTGACTCATAGTGACCCTGAACAGGGTTTGCAAGGCTGTGAATCTTTACGGGAGCAGAAAGCCTCATCTTTCTCCCACGGAACAGTTGGTAGTTTTGAACTGCTGACCTTGCGGTTCGCAGCCCGATTTGTAACCACTATGCTACCAGAGCTTCTTATCCAAGATACAGTGCCTGGCCTCTATTTGCTTGTAGCATCAGAGGAAGGAGAACCAGGAATAGGAGGGGGAGAGGGAGTGTGGCTAGTTGTTTCCACAAACAACTGCCTCCTTTGCCATGAGACCAAACTGGATATTGCCCGGCTACCGTCACTCAGCAGTTCAAATCCACCAACTGCTCCTTGGAAACCCTATACAGGGTCACAGTGAGTCGGAACCAACTCAGAGGCACTTAACAACAAACCATTATTGAAATTTTGGTTGAAGATTCTGTAGAAGAATCCTGATCAAGGGGGGTAAGTATAGACACTATTTCAAATTCTCAGGGAATCCAGATGTTTTGGATCTGTGAGACTAGATGGCTCCTGAAACTACTGCCCTGAGATGATCTTTAACCCTTGAACCAAAAATACCTGAGAATGGAGACAAGTGCTGTTGGGTGATGCAGTGTGCAGGGGATTGTAATCACTGCAGTGAAACAAATACCATAGGATGAGTGTAAAACTGGTGTTCCCCCAAGTAAACAATCACTCAGTTCGTAATAAAAACTTAATACATATATTTGTTGTTGTTGTTAGGTGCCATCTAGTCAGCACTGACTCATAATGACCTTATGCACAGCACAACGAAACACTGCCCGATCCTGGGCCAACCTCACAATTGTTGCCACGCTTGAGCCCATTGATGCTGCCACTTTGCCAGTGCATCTCATTGGGGGTCTTCCTCTTTTCCTCTGACCCTCCACCCT